TCAGCTGGTTTTGGTTGTCAGCAGCAAACTGGTTGATCCACTCTGAGAAGGTGCTATTTAAGAGACTGAGCTGAATACAGCACCTCAGACCGAGGAAGTCTCTCGGATGAGAGACGAAACGTTTCTACATTTTTTTTGCTTTGTTTTTTTTTTTGTTTTGTTTTTTTGAATGTCCAAAGGACCAGATTGAACTTTTTTGGGTTTCAAGTTGTTGTTCTGCTTCTTTTAGTTTCAAGCTGTTATTCTAATTCTTTTAGGATCAAGCTGATGTTTTGCATTTTTTTTCAAGTTCTTGTTCTACTTCTATTAGTTGTGAAGTTGCTGTTGTTCTGCTTCTTTTAGCTTGAAGTTGTTGCTTTACTAAATTTAAATTTAGCTAATTTTAGCTACTGTTCGGCTGCCTTTAGCTTTAACAGCTCAGTTTCAGCTGTCACTCAGCTCTCAGTGTATTTTTATAGACCATGTCATTTTCTTCAGTTTAATCTAAAAACAGCAAGTTGATCTCTAACATGAACTAAAAGCCAAAAGTTTAAAAGTGAAAACATTATAAGTAAATCTTCGGCACCTCTGCTTCTTCAGGAAGGACTCCCATAACGTTTGATCGAGGGGCAGGTAGTTCAGGAGGATCTGAGGAGACAAACGACACAAAGTGAAGACATATTCGTTTCAGGAAGCGATCCTCTATCAGTAGAGGTCCAGAACTCACCTTCCAACACAGAGCTCGAATGCCTCCTTCAAACGGGACTCCTGAGGTAAATAAAATAATTTAGATAAGATGTTTCTGACGTCTTCTGAGTAAAATAACTTCAGGTTTTATTCACCGTTGAAGCAGAGCTCCCTCAGAGTCGACAGCTTGATCGTTTCTTCACTTAAAGCTGCTTTGAACTCTTGAATTCTGTAAGGTCAAAGGTTCAACAAGGACACAATAAAAGTCAACCTGAAACATTAACGTGTCGTCTCTGAAGGACTAAATGGCAAATGGACTGTACTTATATAGCACCTTTCTATCTAATCAAGATACTTAAAGTGCTTTACACCACAATCTGTGCCTCATTTACCCATTCATACAGCTCTATACTAGATCTCTACAAAGCTAATTGAACAAATTCTAAAGAGACTAATCAGAGCTTTATCACATGCATACACCGATGGGACACACATTGGAGGCGATGAGGGGTTCAGTGTCTTGCCCAGGGACACTTTGACATGTGACTGCTGTTGGATTCGAACCCCCAACTCTTGCATTGAAGGACGACTGCTCTAACCACTCAGCCACAGCTGCCCCTGTTTAGAAATGTTTAGTTCTGACATAAAATACTGGTCGTCAGGTTCCAAGAGGATTCAAATATCAATCAAATATATTGATGAACTAGTCCTCTTCAGGAAGTTCTGTTGCTCTGGAGTGTACAGGTGGTGGTAACGCCAGGGCGGAAAGATGTCAAGGTAAGGTATTATTTGCACTCATCATGCTCGATAACTCTCCTGCTGATGTACTGTGATGTGAGTGATATTAACTGTCCTATGTAATCACTCTTACTGTGACCAGTCAGTGAGGAATAAGATCTAAGATATGAACTAAGAAAAACATCAACTAAAAACACACTAAGCACTAGTAGCACAAAAACAATACGCCGAACAGCAGCACGAATATGAGACTGCGTGAGCAGAGGAGTATGAATGAACACAGCAGCAAGAAATAGATCAGCATCAGCATGATGTGGTTTTTCACAGTGATTATTCTGGTTAGAGATTCATGAGTCCAACAGCCTCAGGGTAGAAGCTGTTCCTCAGTCTAGTGGTTCTACACTTAATGATCCTCAACCTCCTTCCTGAGGGGAGTGGGGCAAAAAGTGTGTGTGCTGGGTGAGTGGGGTCCTTCGTGATGCAGGTGGCCCTAGGGCTGAGTACCGAACCGAGGTTCTTTTATGGCACCGACTGAACTGCACCGGTCGGTGTATGTATTGAAACGTCACTCTTCTTTCGGTGTCAAGTTTTGGTATTGGCTGTAACGTGTCACGTGGTTTCAGCATGCAGGCAGGTAAAACACCAGACATAGGACAAACAGACTACGTGTTTACACCCAGAGCTGTATAGCGCTGTCATACCTAATCTATGTATAATGTATGTCTATGGTGCTGGTGACGCCCACAGACGGGTTCACATGTGCAGCGCGTGTTGTCGAACGGCTTCGACAACACACGAGCAGAAAGTTGCTCTGTGTTTTTCTGCGAGGAGAGAGGAGTTCAGCAGCCTCCCCCTCCTCTCAGCATTAAAGTCAGCCTGTGAGAGCCTGAACGTCCTGATTCATTATCGCCACGACCGGACTCTTCATCAAAAAACTCCGAGGACATCTCTGTGTCTGTGTTTCAGCTGGTGAGTTTACGTTTGTTAACGTAACTGCAGCTTAACACGTACATCGCTGTGAATTAAACTATGATCCATGTAATGCTAACTTTGTAAGATATTAGTGTGTTAATGTATTTTATGGGTATCTATGTAGCTAGCTAAACTCATAAGCTAACTAAAGATTGACAGTAACAGATAAAGCTTAGCTTGTAAAAATGTGTTCATCCATTCAATCAGCTACTTAAACAGTTCACTAATGTTCACTGTTTAACTTCATGTTCTCCTCACAGGAGGTTCTGACCCTGATGTGAGGAGGACTAAAGTAAAGCGAGGTGGGGGTCACAGGACAGTCACAAACTTTGTTGTTAAAAGTTTGCTGTCTTTTCTACAGTGGAGCTGCATGTTGGAGGTATGTAAACTGTAAAGGATTTTGTTGACCAGTTAAGCTTTTATCTCTCAGCCTAGATAATGTTTTTTGATCAATAATAACACAACCATGTTATTGTTGATGTTTTGTTCTCATGTCAGTTAGGGAGATGATCAGAGCCCTAAACCCCAGAGATCCACAGAGAAGATTCAGGCAGAGACACAGGGGTACAGATGTCTGCATCATCCCTAACCTCATTGAATCCTGTGACCTGCTGGTGGGATGTGAGGGACAATATGTCAAACTGACAACCAGGAGTGAACATGTTCTACTGCTGGAGACACTGTCAGCCAGGAGCATCTTGTTTGTGTCCACAGAAAGCAGACATGTTGATGTTTCTGATGAAAAACTGTTCAGTGGAAAGGTCCTCAGTGTGTAGCAGTGAACATTAGACACTGACGTGTCACTGGTTTGTAACTGGTCTTTTGACCTGGAAATTATTTGTTTGTTTTTATGTAAGAAAACTGCTGGAATAGAAAAATACCAAAGTTAAAAAATAAAACTCACAATTTGTACTGTAGTGTGTAACGTATTTTTATTCTTGTTAGAATTAATAGTAATTACAAAATTGATACTGAAAAAAGAACCGTCCAGGAACCGACACCGAAGTGAAGGTACCGACACCGGTACCAATTTTTTAGAAAGGTACCCAGCCCTAGGTGGACCTCTTCCTACATCTGGAGGTGTAGATGTCTGTGATGGTGGGGAGACTGACTCCAACATCTTCTGTGCAGCCTTCACCACTCTCTGCAAAGCTTTTCTTTCTGCAGCTGTGCAGCCTCCATGCCACACGTTGATGCTGGAGCACAGGATGCTCTCCACTGCACACCTGTAGAAGGAGGTGAGGACTGAGCTTCCAGACCAGCTCGCCTCAGCCGCCTGAGGAAGTAGAGTCTCTGATGAGCTTTCTTGATCAGGGTGGTG